GTGTGTGTGTGTGTGTGTGTGTGTGTGTTATTGCTCAGATCAGCAGAGCAGCAGCATTCAGACCGATCCAAACCCAGACAGTCCACTTTCAGAGTGTTTCAGAGGTTTCTTTATGAATTTAATAAAAATCAAAGTCTAAATCTTATAAGTTGGGGAATAATTGGAACTTTTCATCTGTCTGTGTTCTTCTGACATCTTTCTGCTTAAGATCATCTTTGTTAGATAATATAAACACTTTCATAAGATTGTGAACTTTATTTCTGTGCTGCTGAATTTAGTTCAACTGAATCGCTAAACAGACTAATGTTCAGTAAATAATAATAATAATTATTATGATTATTTATTACTACTATTGACTATTAATTATTAACCAATTAAATAATTTGTTTATTTGTAATAATGTTTGTATGAATATTATTTTAATAATAATAATAATTTGTTATTTTTAAATATTATTTTCTTAAATTATATTATTATATTATTATTAGTAGTAGTAGTAATTATTATTATAAATAATAATAATAATACATGTAATTACTGCTAATAAAATATAATAATCATTACTAATTATTATTATTGTATTGAATTATTATTTTAATATTATATTATATGTTATGGATTATATATTATTATATTGAAATTATAATTAATTACTGTTTATTTTACATAATAATTTTACTAATATAATTTTATATTGATAATAATAATAATTATAATTATTTATATCACTATTATTATTAATAATACATGTAATTACTACTAATAAAATATAATACTAGTAGTAGTAGTAATAATAATAATAATTCTTAAATGGTATCATATTATTATTAAAATTGTTATTGTTATTAAATATATATTTTTATTATTACTATAAAAATAAGTAATGCATTAGCCTAGCCGCAGACATTTTATGGACAATAAGCAAACGCAGTTTGTTGCATTAATCTAGTATTCAGCTGTTGTGCTTCATTTTAGACCTATGAATTATGTCTTGATAGTTCAGGGCTGCTCTGATGGATGAATGTAATGCGTGTCCGCAGCGGTTCTGCTGTGTCGACTCCATCAGTGGCTCAGTATACGAGTGCTTGCTGATATCCTGAGAGAAGCACATTCAAGCTTTGCTCTGTTAGATTTAACAGACTGTAAAGGTTTAAAGTTTAAACCCTCTGCTGTAGACAATAGCAGCTGTGTGTTTGAGCACCTAAACCTCAGTCATCAGGACAGATGCACGTTCTTTTGGTGTGTTTCATAAATATATATATACAGAATTGTTGGCTTTAAAACAAATCTATAATTTTATTGAAATGATATGATTTAGTGTTTAAATAAATAAATATGTTTTAAACAATGCAATGATTTGATGTTAAAATAAATACATTTATTTTGAAATATCAGCAGCAAAGGCTATTTTCTTGGCAAACCAATAGTAGAAGTAAAATAATACTTCTAATAATAGTAAAACAATCAAATATTTAATAAATAATCATATACAAAACTTCAACAATATTTTTCACAAATATAATAAAAAAATATATAGCAGTCATATATTCACAGTACAGATTCATATTGATTCTATATCTGTCTGCAGGTGACAACATCCTGTCTGTGCTCAAACACCTGGTGATGTCAGATGAGCTGGCGGACTCGTCAGCGTATCGTCATGGTAACATGGTGTTCTTTGATCTGTTGGGCGTTACCGTGGTTGCGTATCCCGCACGCGTCGGCACCATCATCAACTACATGGCTGCCGTCGCCACGGTGATCTACCTGGGCAAGAAGTGCATGTTAACTAGCAATGCGGGTAAGACATATCGGTCTGTCACTAACTGTTTATATGTATATTTATTATCACTGAATGGTTTTATTCAGAAATTTCGTTGATGGGTATTTTTTTTTATATTTCTAGATTTTTTTATTTTTTAAATTAGATTTGTATATGAAGTATTGTATATAATTGAAATGTTTATTTATTAAATTTTTTGTCTTATGATTATTTTAATTTCTCCTTTGCTACTGATATGCTGTTAAATAAATAAATTGTATTTATTTTAACACCAAATCATATAATTATTTTAAAAATATATAAATAAATGTATTTATGTATTCATTTATTTTAATGCCAAATCATTGCATTATTTAAAAAAAATAAATATAAATGATTTATCTATTTATTTTAACACCAAATCAAAGCATTATTTAAATGAAAAATAATTTATTTCTTTATTTTAACACCAAATCAAAGCATTATTTAAATGAAAAATTAAAAATAATATATTTCTTTATTTTAACACCAAATCATAGCAGTATTTAAATGAAAAATAATTTATTTTAACAAAGCACAGCATTATTTAAATAAAAGAAATAATTTGTTTTTATAGCAATTCATAGCATTATTTAAATAAAAGTAGTAAAATATTTATTTATTTATGTAACATACCACATTTATTTAAATAAAATAAATAAATGAATGCATTTAAATAATTATTAAAATAATAGCATTATTTAATTAAATGAAATTATTCATTTTTTACATGAATTTTAATGCTAAATTATTTATTAAAATTATTCTAATTATATCAAGCATTATTTAAATGAAAAATACATTATTTATTATTTGATTCAATATCTATATCGAGTTTAAAATGTATTCAAATTCACTTGTAATAACCCTTGTGATCACTGAAAACTGATGCTGGCTGATTGTATGAGTTTGTTTAGTTAAAGCCAATTCTGTGTCAGACGCTACAGGTACAAACAGGAATCATCACTTTGTAATGTGAGTAATGAACAATATAAAATAGGAGTAACTGAAGTCAACAGCTTCATATTATGAATTATTTTCTGATTCATTTGATTGTAGAATATAGAGCACATTTATCGCTGGTCTTGCGTGTTCTGAGGCGTGCGCTGGTCTCTGTCCCGCGGCAGGCGGCCGCTACATGCGTGATCTGGCGTGTGCGGCGTGTGTGGCTGTGTTGAGCTGGTTCGTGGCTCTGCTGACGGTTCTGATCGTGGCTCTGCTGGTCACGCTCGCGGGACGCTCCATGTTCTGGTACAGTCACTTCTACGCCGCCGTCTGTCTGTACGGATCCGCCGCCGTCGGGAAGATCCTGCTGATCCACACGCTGGCCAAGAACCTGTACTACGGGGTGAGTCCACACCTCACATTCACTCACCGCAGAAACACTCTTCTGTCCCACACTAACCTCAGCTGATGTGACAAACCCAGCGACTAGTTCCTCCTCGTCTGCGATCTGATGTCAACCGAGCACACTGTAATATTTACATCAATTTATGTGTTCTTAAAATACATTTTGAATTATGTTATCACTGATAACTGATATGAATCTGAATGAATGAATGAATGAATGAATGATGCATTTATATAGCGCATGTATGTATTGCTGTACACCCAAAGCGCTTTACAATCATGTGGGTGGGGATCTGAATCATTAGAATAAAATCTGATAGAATAGAATCTGATCATTATTTAAATAAAAATAATCAATCAATACATTATTTATTTATTTAACACCAAATTAAATGAATTTAAATAGATAAATAATACCACATTTATTTAACATCAGTCAAATTAAATTTTAAATAATACAAGAATATTTTTTACATTTTTTATATCTAAAATATTTATTAATTAATGCCAAATTTATTTATTTACTTCACATTGATACCATTATTTAAATAAATAGTTTTATAAAATTATTAAATAAAATTAAATAACAAATTTTATTAAAATTCATTATTTTATTTATATTTTAAATATTCAGTCGTTAAAATACATTTGTAATAAATTACAGGTAACTGATATGATGGCTAATATTAAGAATCTGTATATATATATAAATATACTAAAAAACAAAATCTAAAATAAAATACATATTTTAATTTGTTTATTTAAAATGATCGATTTCTAAATGACATTGTAACGTTTTCGGTGTTTGTAGGGTGTGTTTGTAAGGACTAGTTACTGAATGTCCCGCTCTTGTGCCTCAAGCCACATGAAACAGCAGCTTTTCTCGTGGGTTTGTGTTTGACCTCCTCACTGTTTCCACTCATTACGGTCACGTGAGGCTCTTTACCTAACGACTAATTCATCAGACGCTTAAAGTCACAGAGTTCACAGCTACGTCTCAATAACATGACAGATGGAAATAATGTTTTTCATTCATTTCGTTCTTTATGAATGTAGAAGTGTGTCTGAGATGCTGGAACTGTTCATCATTTCTTTTGAAGGCTTTTACGATTACATTTAAGCTTTTTTTAGTCCTGCAGTTTAATGTGAACTTGTTCCTTTTAGTCTCCTTGCTAATATGAGCTTGTGAAAACTGCATATATATACTATAATGTTTTAATAGAACGAAAACAATCTGTGTGTTGGTTCATGCTGCTGTGATTTTGCAATATTACGTTATTTGTCAAATATTGAAGCTCTGTTCTCGTGGGTTTGTATAGTTACACTTTAATGTCAAGATTAGTTATTAGAATATATTCAGGTCACACGATATTAACGGTTCGTTTCCTCGTTCGGTTTGTTTCTCTGTGGTGTTTGATGAATTTCTCATAACAGGTTTATTATTATCACTGTTCACAATGTTTGGGATTTTTAAAATGTTTTTGTAAGAAGTCTCTTCTGCTCAACAAGGCTGCATTTATTTGATCAAAATACAGTAGAAAATGTGAAATATTATTACAATTTAAAATATCTCTTTTCTATGTGAATATCTGTTAAACTGTAATTTATTTCTGTGATGCAAAGCTGAATTTTCAGCATCATTACTCCTGATGATCTTCTCCTGAAATCATTCTAATATGCTGATCTGCTGCTCAAGAAACATTTCTGATTATTATCAATGTTGAAAACAGTCGTGCTGCACAATATTTCTGTAGAAACTGTGATGCATTTTATTTTTCAGGATTCTTTGGTTAATAGAAACAGCGTTTATTTGAAATAGAAATATTTTGTAACATTATAAATGTCTTCACTCTCACTTTTGATCAATTTAATGCATCCTTGATGAATACCGGGTTTGTCCTTCACATTTGTGCAGCTCTACTGAACTATGATTATTCTGCTCATTTTCTTATGAAGCTGCTGTAATGAATGAATGTTACTGAACATCTTCTAAAGTCCAGATTCAAGCACAGCATAAACAAACACACCACTTATTTGCAGTTCTTATCAATTAAGAGATTACATGGAATATTTGTACATTTTAAAGTTAATTTGTAACAATTTTACATGATCTTTTTCATATTTTTTAAAAACACATTTTTACTTTTACTAGTTTTTATGCTCCTCCGGTATGTTTGAGTCATATTAATGGAGTTTTAACTCCTTTTTTGAATTTAGAGTTTGTTTGAGTTTTTTTTTTTATCAGATAAACTTCAGATTTGTTTATTTTTTGTTTCTTATTTTGCTAACAACAACATCTTGTCATGAAATACAAACAAACATACAAAACCATCACTAGTTCAAAAAACAAATCGTAACATTTTTAAATAAAAAATAATTTAACACCAAATCTTAGCATTATTTAAATATGAAATATTTATTTAACACCAAATCATAGCATTATTTAAATAAAAATGAAATAAAATGTATTTATTTAGTTTATTGTAACACCAAATAGCAGCATTATTTAAATAAAAATTAAATATACTAAATTTTATTCATTTATTTTATTGCCAAATCAGCATTATTTAAATGAAAAAATATTTTATTTTATTAGTTTAGTTGTATAGTTTACTTTAGCTTAGTTTATTTATATTTTTTGTCTGGGTCATGTTTCAACACAAAATTTAAATCTAAAAAGTATTAAATTATGTTTTGCATTAAGAAAATGAAGCCTACCTTTTACATCGTGACATTATTTTTATGACAGTTAAACACGTTTTACCCCAAATTCTCATGAGAAATTTCATTTTAATTATTTATTTATTTTATAATTCTCATTGTTTCGATGAGAAATCGAGATACAATGATTAATTTTTTTTTAATTTTTTTTTCAAATATTATTTCATTTACTTTTGGTTTGTTTTTGTAATTCTTATTCGTTCTGATTCTTATTAATGAAATACCTTCATTTAATATTGCAAAAATAAATAAATCATGATATTTTAAATAATTAAATAAATATTTTTTATTTATTTATTTATGTATGTATGTATGTATTTAAATTTTTATTTTATTTATTTATTTTTAATTTTTTTTATTTTATTTTATTGAGGTCTCCGTGTCTCTCTGTCTGTCAGGGTGTGAGCGGCGTGGATCTGTCGGAGCGCTTCTTTGACGTCAGTCTGCTGTTGTGGTGTTGTGCGCTGCTCTTCCTCACTCAGCGCGGCTTGTGTTCGGCGTATGTGCCCATGATGATGGTCGTCTTCCCTCTCGCCAGCAAACTGCTGCTCACAAAACACTTCAGAGCCAGAGGTCAGACAAACCGCAGCATTACTTTGGACATTCTTCCACATTTGATTGTCCCGTCACAGTAGTTCAGTTCAGCCGGATTGCGCTGATCTTCATGAGTGTGTGTGTGTGTGTCGCTTCAGGAGCGTCTCTGCAGTACTCCGTCCTGTACCTGACGGGTCTCGCCGTGCCGTACGTCCACATCATGTTCCTCATCTGGGTGGTGTTTGAGATCTTCACACCCATCCTGGGCCGCAGCGGAACCGAGATCCCGCCAGACATCGTCCTGGCATCACTCATTACCCTGGCAACCGTCATTCTGTCTTCATATTTTGTGAGTCACACAGACTAACTGTAAACAATTCTAATTCAGAAATGTAAAAAAAAAAAAAAATCTGATTCAAAAATTCAGTTTCAAAAATTCTAATTCATTGAATTAGGACACATGTTCCGTCCCTGGATGTATATAGTTTTTATTTATTTTTATTTTTTTTTAATGTTACTTTTCTTTGTAAAAAGGAAAACAGGTTATACTTTGAAACAATTTAATGAAGGTTGAGTATAATTTATAGTTAAAACATACCAGGTAATTGTACATAATTGTACAAGATACTCCATGCTTGCATTGAGTATTGTATGTAACTTGAAATATGCTACATGATTGTACTCAAATGATTGTTCACAACAAACAAACAAAAAAACAAACAAACAAAAAATTCAAATTCTGAAATTTGGATTCAAAAATTCAAATTCTGAAATTTAAATTCAAAAACTCAGATTCAGAAATTCTTTTTTTTTGCTTTTTTTTTTTTGCTTTTTGAACACAATAAAACAATCCGAACTTGCTTTAAACGATTGACAGTAACAAATCTGACCTAATATAACACTTAACGACAGTCAGAGATATGACAGTATGACATATGAAAATGATATTTAACAATTGCCCCACTCCCCCCCAAAAAATACAAATAAATAAAAACCAAATATAATATATACATATTTAGGGTTTAGACACACCGAGACATCTTAGACTTTACATACACTGTTAAGGAGACCGAGCATATTTGACATTATACTTATCTCTTTATACCATTTTCAGATTCAGAAATTCTAATTAAAAAATTCAAATGAAAAAATTCAAATTCTAAATAAAACAAGCAGAGATTAAATTATTTTATTCTGCCATATGCTTCCTTATACCCCCCCCCCTCTGTCCAAAGCAATTGCAGCTGGACTGCTTACACTCTCTCTCTCTCTCTCTCTCTCTCTCTCTCTCTCTCTCTCTGTCTCTCTACAGATGCATTTCATCTATCTGACCTGCAGTACGAGGCGGATCTTGGCTGGTCTGGGATCAGTGTTTGTGCTGATGTTTGTTCTGGTCTGCTGTGGTCTGTTCTTCCCGTATTCTGCTGACCCGTCCAGCCCGCGACCCAAACGCATCTTTGTCCAGGTGCCACCATCACTGATCTCGCTTTAGAGCAGGGTTATTATAGTTCACTCAAACCACTGATTCTTTGCAGCATTTATTTTCAATAAAATATATATAAAAGCTTATTTTCTAGTTGCCAAGACAGCTTTTCTTCATTTTAATTTAGTTTAACTTTTTGTACTAAAATAACTAAAAACTAAATTTGAAATAAAAATAACACAAGCTTAATAAATAAAAGCTGATTTTCTTTATAAAAAAGAAACAAGTTTATAATATATAGAAAAACTTTAATTTTCTTTTATTTATATTAATGAAATCCTATGATTTATATATTTTTTAATATTAATTCATTTAGTTTGTTTTGTAATTCTCATTATTTCTGATTTTTATTAAAGAAATACCATAATTTAATATTTTAATGTTTATTTATTTATTTTTAAATATTGTTATGTATGTTAATATGTTATAAATACTGTTATATATGTTATGTATAAATACTGTTAATAATTTTAATTAGCTTAAATTAATGGCACAATACACAAGAAAACAACAAATAATATAATATAATAAAATATAATATAATATAATAATGACACATCAAAATGAAAATGGAAAATATAAAAATAAATCCTAAATACTTCTAGCCTGGTTTATAAACCAGAAATATTAAGCTTATTTTTTTTTAGCACTTTACATGAATTGTTCAGTAGAACCGTGTCTAAATCCAGTGAACACTGATGATTTCAGCACAGCACACGCATGTTGCACGCTCTGGACGGGACGGTGGAGCGCTCTGACTCCGGGTTATGGATCAACAGTCTGGACTACAGCGGCATGCAGCACATCACGCCTCACATCCCGCAGATCAACGACAGCATCCGCTCGCACTGCTCCGAGCAGCTGCCCTACTGCGGCTTCCCATGGTTCCTGCCGGTCAAATCCCTGGTCAAGTGAGTTGGACAGAGATCCCTGACGCTCTCGCTGTGCTTCAGCTCATTAACGCTCGTCTTTCTCTGATTTCAGGAAGAACTGGTATCTTCCTGCTCCTGAAGTCTCTCCTGAAGCTCCGCTGCAGTTCCGGCTCTTATCCAGACAGGACACTGAATGGGGAACCGTTAAAATGAGCTTCGAGGCCAAAGGTGAGAGTTCAGGGTCATTTCATCATGAAGGGAAAGGATCCTCATGAAATATAGAATAATGACTGTTGATAACTTGATTCTTCAAAAAAAAAATTTTTTTTACATAAAACTGATGTTAAAAAAATTTCATAAAAAAAAAAGTTAATATTTGTCATATATAAAATTAAAAATAATAAATAATAATAGTGTCTAACTTTATTCTTCAAAAGCATTTTTTTAATTACTGAAACTTTTTAGTTTTAAATATTATATTACAAACATTTACAGACTAGTTTTATAATTGTATAATATATATAAATAATTATATGCTAATAAAAGTGTAAACATTTGTCATATATATATATATATATATATATATATATATGTTTGTGTTATCAAAAATAGTAATGATTGTCGATAACTCAAAACTGCCTGTAGTTTGAAATATTATATTACAACTATTGTTATTTTTTAAACTAGTTTGTTGTATATGCAATATATAACAAATTTGAATGAATGAATTAATTACTTTATTATTTCAACTGCTTTCTAAATATACATGTGCTTTTTTAGTTTTGTTGAATTTTGAGATTCAAATGATATCCGCATTTAATAATCCAGTCAATGTTTAGTTTGAGTGTTTGACTGATTTAGATCAGAGTCACAAACACACTGTTCTCTTTCAGGTCCGAGTCACATGTCTCTGTATCTGCGTCCTCACGCCGGCGCGTCTCTGATGGGCTGGTCATTCGGTGACGGGACGCCGCGGTTCGACCTGAGTGGAGAGTATTTCGTCTTCTACTCTCACGGCCTCGACGCTCCGGCCTGGAGCTTCTGGCTTGAGATCCAGGTGAGTTTGACAGGTGTGTAACCAGAGCCAAAGCGTCTGTGTCTGAGTCTGTGTGTGTTTCTGCTCTTTCAGCTGCACGAATCCTCAGACGTGCCTCCTGACGAGGGGCTGATCTCTCTGGCCGTCTCGTCTCATTACTTCTTCGGTCCGGACCGGCGCTCGGAGCAGCTGGAGTCTTTGCTGAAGAGATTCCCGGCCTGGGCCTTTCCATCGTCCTGGGTCAGCACCTATCACATGTACAGATACTGAGGGACACGAGCGGACCCCCATCACTCACTCACTCACTCACACACACACTCACATGCTCACACACGCTCACACACACACACTCACACTCACACACACACACACACACACACACACACTCACACCCATAAACTCCACACCGGCTCCATCATTCACAACAACCAACTGACAGTGTTTCGTTTATTTTATTTTATTCTAGTTTATTTTAATTATATTTTACTTTTTCATTTTTATTTCTCTTTATTTTATTTTTGTCTGGGTCATGTTTCAACACAAAATCTAAATCTAAAAATTATTAAATTATATTTTGCATTAAGAAAATTAAGCCTACCTTTTACATTTATTTACATTTATTATTTTTTATGACAATTAAACACATTTTACCCCAAATTTTCGTGTGAAATTTATAATTTAATAAATCATGATACTTCATTGATAAAAACTTTAAAAAAAAATTGTTTTTGTAATTCAAATTAATATCATTTCTGATTCTTGTTAATCTAATCCTGTTTTTTTTTTTTTTTTCAAATATTTTTGATTAGCATAAATTAAAGGTAGTACACTACCATTATGTATGATGATGAATATAAATTATAAATTTAAATTCTCAAAAATAATGACAGGATTATTTATCATGCCATATCTTTTTATATATAATTATTGTTATCTTACAAGTAATGAGAATTGTGAATTGGGTGTTTAATTATCATGAAAATAATGCAGAACATCTGAACGGTTTTGTGAGCTGTGTCTCAGTATTTGTGTGTCACTCTGGACTGAGATTGCGTCAAAATGACTCGAGCAGAATTTCAAGCCGTTTTTCTTGTTCCTGGTGTTTTATGCAACTTGATTTTCAGATTGACTTCTGATCATTCAGTTACAGAAACATGGTATTACCGCAGTAATGTGATGTGCTCAAAATCCAAGTGCTTTTATTAATTCATTCATGTTTGAAGCGTTGGATGATTGTTCATGACTGTTTTATTTGTATGATAAAAACGGTGCAAATGTTTTTCTGGATTGAACTGGATTTGAAGCCTTAAAATGAGCTTTAACCATAATTCACATTATTACTACAGTAAAGCCGAGTGGATCTCGTTTAAAATAAATACAAACACATGTATATACAAACAAACACACACGGATAAATGTGTTTCTTTGTCCCAGATTTCAGATGAATGTGGAAATATGACTGTGATAATGAATGTTCAATTAATGCAATCTTACTGACCTACGTTTGTCCTTTTGTTTGGGATGAAAGTTCAATGAGCATGATTTATGAATGACAGGATGTTCTGTATTTTCCTTTAATAACTAGTGCTACATTTGCCTGTTTGACTTGAGCAAACAAAAGCAATGACAGAAAATCCTGCACATCACTGTAAAATACAGCCGAATAATAACTGTAATCACATGTAGTTCAACAATTAAAAAAAAAATGATATTCGTCTTAATTTCTCAAACTGGTCATATTTGTTTTTTGACTCAAATGGTACAAAACTCATTTCTTGTCACACAGATGCTGTAGTTTTGATGTCCATGAATCGCTTGGGAAATCGTTAAGTAATGTCTGTTAGATTGATTGACGCGGTCCTGTTCTGATTCATGTTTATATCATTTGCTGCACTGAATTGTATTTCTGCTATGAATCAATTTTCTAAGAAAATCACTTTAGGTCTCCTGTCATTTGTTTGTTGTTTTCTTACTCAGATTTAAGAATTTTTCAAAAATAATAAAAACTGAAAAATAGAAATATAATAAAATAAGATTTTTTTAAGACAAAAATGCAAAAGAAAAAATTTGTAAAAATGTTTTCGCAATATTTCTATACATTACAAACTCTTACAGATACAAACTTGTAATTGGTAATGTTTTTGAAGTCTTTGCTAATCAAGGCTGCATTTATTTGAAAAAAAAAAAGAAACCGTAAAATCGTAAATGTAATGTATTTCTGTGATGCGCAGCTGTATTTTCAGCATCATTACTCCAGTCTTCAGTGTCACATGATCTTCTATATATATATGATGAAAAATAGATAGTGATTAAAAATGGCATATTTAAGATTAATGACAAAAAAATCACCATCAATAATGAATTTTATCATCTTGCTTGTAAACTAATTTTGAAAAATAAATACTGCATGTGTTTGATTACGTGAACAGTCTGAAAAAAATGAAAAAATTATTCTTGCTTAAAACAGGAAAAAATATGCACCATATGGGTCAAAAAATATATATAATCTTGTTTTCCCTTATAATCTTTTTTTGACCACATTGGCAGATTTTTGCTCGTTTAAAATAAAAAAAAAATCACTTCATTTTAACTTATTATAAGAGATAATTATATCGCTCATTTATTTATTTATTTTTTTAGCAGAAAAGACATTGATTTATTTTCTTGCTTTAAGCATAAACTCACTTCATTTTGATTATTTTTATCAGAAAACAAGAGTTCAAATCAAGTGGTTTTGCCTCTCCAGTAAATGTATCTTGATTTCAGAAGGTTTGTTCGTACTGGAAAAGACAAAAAAACTAAGAAAGTGATGTTTTGCAGTGTGAAAGTGAAAAGAGCAAAACATGATGCTTTTGACCACAGGATGCTGAAAACACAGCAAAACACACACGACACTGCAGTCTGGACGAACTGGAATAACACACACACACACACACACACACACACACACACACAGGTAACGCAGGTCCGAGCACGTCAGGAGAGGGTGCAGTCGTACGATCCCTCCTCCAGCGGCTCCTCCTCCTGCTCCTCCTGCAGCGTGTCGTCCAGGGGCCGGGCGTTGGCTCCGGCGGGGCCGTCCAGAGGCAGCGGGTGAGCAGACGTCACGGCCCCGCGAGCGTCCTCGGCTCGGGGCAGCAGCGGTGGCTCGCTCAGTTTGGACGCTCCGGCCGGCTGGAAGGCTTCGGGCTGAACCTGCTCCACAGGAACCTCCATCAGCTTCAGCAGCTGAGGACGAATCAGGCTCAGGAACGGCTTGTAGCCCAGACTGACAGCAGAAACACAGAAAGAGAGCGTCATTAATCTCAGAACCTCCAGAAATCCCACCATGAACATGAACGTGTTTGTTGCAACATTAATTCAGAGTGCTGGAGCTAAATTTCTCAAACATTACACGTGCTTCCAGTTTACTAACATTCAGACAAAACAACAGAAAATTATTCAGCTTATGTGCAAATTATAATTGTTTTTATGTTCTAAGAAACCCTGACTGACATCATATAAACAACAAATACATTTAAAAAATTGTAAATAAAAATATTTTAAATATTTATAATGTGTATAATATAATATATATATATATATATATAATATGTTACAAAAGATTTCCATTTCAAATAAATGCTGTTCTTATATACTTATATACTTTCTACTCATCAAAGAATTTTGCAATATAGTAATATTTCACAGTATTTTTGATCAAATAAATGTTCAAATAAACATTATAAACTCTTACAGATACAAACTTTTAAATGGTAGAGTATACATTTAAAGAAAATAAATTAGACATAAAAAAAAGACTATTTTAGATTTTAAAAAAAGATACAGATAGACTGATCTGACTCGCTCAACTTTGTTGATGACTTTTAAATGGCAGTGCATAAATTTAAAGAAAAAAATTTGACATTTTTAGAAAAAAAAAAAAAAAGACTTTTAAAAGTTATATAATATTTTCTCATTATATGTATATGATTAGCCCTTTAAACACATTATACAAATACATAAATCTTTACTATATGAAATGAAATTTGCCAGTGATACGGACCAATCAGACGAGGCCCACAGGTCGACCGCTATCAGACCGGCTCGGATGCTCTGGACCGTTTCTGATGGGACTTCTGGACTGTCCAAAAACCCCACGACCTGCTTAATGACACCAGCGTCTCGTAAGATCAGTCAAAAGAACAGCATTTATTTGAAATACAAATCTTTTGTAACATTAGAAATGTTATAAATTATAAAAATAAAAATCCCACTGTAGTGTATTTAAAGACACTTGTATATAAATATATTTTCCCAACACATCTGAAACTGATTAGGAAAAAAACAGCACACGTTTAAAAAATAATTTATTGTTCTTTATGTACAGGAAATATAGAAAACGGAGTAGAAAAGTTACTGTCCAGGAAACTCTCTGTACACTGCATTGAGCAGAAACTCCAGGCTTTAAACTGTACAGATGAAGAACTCAAGAGTACCGAGTCGTGCATGAAACCAGATCAAATCCTCAGTCCACATGAAATAACAGCATCAGTCCTGTGACGTCAGAGGAATTGTGGGTAATCTGTACCATGAACACGTCCGTGAATCTCACACACGGAAGCTCTTTGGTTTGTGAACAACATGATCATCAGAAATACTGCGACGAGAGGAGGAGGAACCGCCTAAATCGGCCTAACCACATTTTATGGGGTTTTGGGCACTTGTCAGCTGGTTTGGGAGCCACTGAACCAGCTTAAACCAGATCAGGCCGGTCTAAGCCGCTCGTTTGGGGGGGAAATAAAACATTCAAATAAAGATGCATCTCATTAAAGCTGCTAAATACTCGGAGACGACTGTCAATAACGCATAAGAGCTACAAGAAGAAGAAGAATACAAAGGCATTGATAAATGTAGATGATTTGGTCCGTTGTGAAGGCAGCGCTAACAAGACGAACACTGAACACATTAATACTGACCATCGTTCAGATATCATAAAACACACACACACACACACACACACGAGAGAAACTCAACCCCGCGTCCGTCTCTTTGTCCTGCCGCTCAAATAAATACACAGAAAACCTGCAACAATGCAATTTAGAGAACACAAAACAATCGCAATAATGCAGAAACTGCAAATGCAAAACTGCTTATCTGAGATTAATAATCAGAAATAGACATTATCATGGCTGTAACATAACACATGTGTTTATGTCTTCATGAAGATACAGGAGCATCAAACGCTTGAAAAGCTCCCTCATCAGCTCATCGATGGTTTTACAGCTTAAAAACAAATAAAAGCTGTCCGTTTCGAAGCTACAAACCTGCAGCTGAAGAACAAACATGATCCGGATCAGATCTCACAGAAATCTGCGTCAGAGCTGATCATTCATAATTAACATTAAAACATGAAGCCATCCTCTCACACACAAAACAAACTGAAACCAATTAAAACACGTGATCGATCGATTCTCATCTGCACTGCAAAAAAATCACTTTCTCAGCATTTTTGTCTTCTGCATTTCTGTTTTCCAGTACAAATATCGAAATATTATTAAATCAAGAACGAAATGAAAAATTCAGTAGGTTTAGGCTTAAAATAAGTGTACTTTTTAATTTGTAGAAAATTGAGAGAGAACATAAAAGTAAAAAATAAAAACAATACACAGTGATGAAAAAGTTGATATTTTTTAATCTTGGCTGTAAAATAATGTTGACAAATAAATAATGTATTTGTTTACTTTGTTAACAGCCTTTAAGCCCTTAAGATATTAAGTCATGATTTTTATCAATAAAATGATCAAAATGAAGCGAGTTCATGCTTAAAACAGGAAAAAGAAAAAAAAA